TTGAGCTTCTTTAACTGATTCTTTGAGTGAAACAAGTGGCTCAGGTTCTTGTCTCCGCGGACGTCTCTGCGGAACCTTGTCCCGAGCACCCGGAGGTCTCCCCCTCTTCCTAGGATGGGGGGTAAGAGCAGAGTCAGTAACCTTCTGGGTTACCTCTACTCTTTCCGGCGCATTTACTGCAGGTATATGCGGCCTTGTCACTCCCTTGTAATCAGTGAAGGCATCTGGCAACTTATTTGCAAGATTTTGCAAATTTATGATTCTCTGAACTTCCAGTTCAGCTTCACTAGTGCATGGATCTAAGGACTGCATCCCAGTTGCGTTCCATATTATATCTCGGCATTCTTCTGGATGCTTTTCTCCCCCTAATGCTGGGAAATGGTCCTCATCAAAGATACAATCAGCGTACTGAGCCGTATGAAGATCCCCAGTCATAGGCTCAAGATACTTGATTATGGACAAAGTCTCATAACCAACGTATATCCCCAACTTCCGGTGGGGTCCCATAGAAGTACGATGTGGTGGTGGGATCGGCACATATACTACACTGCCGAATTTACACAGATGGGAAATACTTGGTTCTTTTCCACGCACTAGCTGAAGGGGGGATGTACTATGATATGCAGTTGGCCTGAGTTGAATTAGTGTTGCTGCATGCAACACAACATGGCCCCAACAACTGGTTGGCAGCCTACAATCCTGCAATAGTGGCCGAGCAATCAACTTGATCCTCTTGATCAAGGACTCAGCTAGGCCATTTTGAGTGTGGACATGTGGTACTGAATATTCTACCTTAATGCCCATGGCTAAACAATAATCATCAAAAGCCTTCGACCTGAACTCACCAGCATTATCCATTCGAATGGATTGTACGTGGCTATCAGGGAAGCTAGCTTTTAACCTGATGATTTGGGCAATTAGCTTTGAAAAAGCATGGTTCCTTGTGGACAACAGGTCCACATGGCTCCACCTGGTAGATGCATCAATCAGTACCATGAAATACCTAAACGGGCCCGACAGGGGCTGGATAGGTCCACATATGTCACCTTGTATCCTTGCCAGGAAAACAGGTGACTCATCCCTAATCTTCAGGAGGGATGGCCTAGTGATCAACTTCCCTTTTGCACAAGCAGGGCAAATAAAATCTTCAGGATTAGGGAAGTCTTTAGTTTCAACATTGTGGCCAGCAGAATTGTTGATGATTCTCCTCATCATACCCAACCCAAGATGACCCAGCCTGTCATGCCAAACTCTAAATGACTCTGGGTTTCTAAATATGCTCTTCATCGCAACATATTCCTTAGTGGGTTTTATGTACGTGTAGTACAAACCCGATGGCGATGAAGGGAGCCTTTCCACCACTTGCTTTTGATATCCATCTATTTTTGTTATGAGCAGATATTCAGCATCTTGCTCAATCTCGGTTCTATATGGAAACCGTTTGCACGGATATCTTTAAAACTTAAGAGGGTACTCTTTGAATCAGGATACAATAGAGCATCCTTTACAAAGATATGGGTACCCATAGGGAGAACTAGAGTAGCACTTCCAGTGCCTACTATATGGGCATTGCTTCCGGCAATGGTCATAATATTTCCAGTTTTCTTAGTTAAGGTGTGGAAATATCTAGTTTCCCTTAAGATTGTGTTAGTGTTGGCACTATCTACTAGACATATATCCTCTTCTACCATGGGATTCCCACAAAGTCTGTTTATAGAACATAAACATAAATGAAATTAAACATGGAGTAAGTTGATTCTATTAAGGGAAACATTACAAGGACTTCAGGCCCAGTAAAAGACTAAGCGTGCTCTTCAGGAGCATTATTCATGACCAAAGTTCTACATGTGCTACTCATGCGGAACACTGTATATGACTGACATATAGGAGATTACTTCAGGTCTCCAAATATGTCATCATCTTTTTCAAGAAGGTTGTCCCAATCATCGTCCATACAGACGTCCCCACCATCCTTAACATTGATAAGCATGTCATCATGTTTTTCAATCTGAGCTTCAGGCTCAATGGTGAAGTGGGACTCATGTTGGCTCTTTTTCTCATTCATGCTTTGTTGGTAGAGCTCAACCAGGTGCTTGGGGACACGGCAGTTACGAGACCAATGCCCTCTGCCTCCACATCTATAGCAGTTATCCTGCTTTACCCCAGATGATTCACCTGTAACCTTCTTGAGTTCGCCTTTACCTCTGGGTTTACCCTTGTTCTTGCCCTTGAATATGATACTTCCCTTACCTTTCCCTTTCTTCTCACCATGGCCTCTTTTACGGCCATGTGAGTTTCCAACAACATTGGCGTGTGCTTCGGGCACTGCCATAGACCCAGTGGGTCGAGCAGAATGATTCTTTAGAAGAACCTCATTCTGCCTTTCTGCAACTAACAGGACTGAAATAAGATCAAAGTACTTCGGGTACTTTGAGTTCCTGTATTGCTGTTGCAGCACTATGTTGTTGGGATGAAAGGTAGATAAGGTTTTCTCGATCATCTCAGCGTCAGTGATCTTCTGGCCACATAAACGCAACTGAGAAATGATCCTATGTAGAGCAGAGTTATACGCTGCCACAGACTTGTAGTCTTGGAAGCGTAGGGTGATCCAGTCATGTTGTGCTTGTGGGAGCACAATTGACCCTTGCTGGTCAAAGCGATCCTTCAGGGATTGCCATAATACCAGTGGATCTTTCTCGGTCATATACTCAGACTTCAGGTCTGGGTGGAGATGGTGGCGCAAGAAATGCAATGCCTTTGCTTTCTCGGCCTTCGTAGACTCCACAGTGCCAACTTTGGGCAGCACAATAGTATGATCGAGACCCATGGAGTCGAGTTTAATCTCAACGTCCAATGCCCAAGTGAGGTAGTTACTACCATCCAAGGCAAGCTCGGCGAATTCCTTCTTTGCTATGTCCGACATGTCCTGCAACAACATTTGGTATTTACGACAGGTAAATACGATGTGCAGGGTCGACATGAATTGGTCATGCGTAATCTTCAGGATTACTATTGTGTGTAATCTTCAGGATTACTAGTGTGTGTAATCTTCAGGATTATCACACAGTTTCCCATAGAATCTTTCCTAGCAAATTAACTTAAGTAATCTTTAGGATTACAGATTGCTTGATTAAATATTATCAATCATGCTAGGAAATCAATTTCATAACAATAAAATAAATGTTATGAAAGTCATGCAAACAGCAAAGTAAGCATGTAAAACAAAACGAAGAGTATACATGGGCACAACTTCATGTATATTGTGCAGACTGTAAAAAGTAAGATAAACCATATAGTACTTTCCCCACTATGAGCCCACGCTTCATGGCGACAGAGCCGACCTTAGTGGCATCAAGGGCCCATATGGGTGATGTCCATAAAACAAAGGGCATCCATAACGACACTTCAGGGTCGTGCAGAAGGTTCGTTTGCTTCCGATATTTGGTGGCAACAGCGGCAGAGCCGTCCATTAAGTTGCCATGCCGGTGCTTCACGCACCTACATCACCTCTAGCATTTGGGCGATAACGGCGGCAGAGCCTCCATTGTGTTATCGAATAGTGCTAAGAGGATGTACCATCTCAAGCCTTTGGACGGTAATGGCGGCAGAGCTGCCATCATGTTACCGAGCGTTGCTGAGAGAATGTATCAACTCTAGCAATTGGACGATAACGGCGGCAGAGCCGCCATCATGTTATCGTGTATTGCTGAGAGGATATCGGAGGATGGTACTTCAGGTACCATGCTCTTCTGCTTATTTCAACTATAGCAGAAGAATGATTTGCATATAAAGAGCAAGATGATCAGTAGAAACTGATTTCTCACCTGTTTACCTTTTTAGCACGGTAAAGTCTCATGCTGATAACGTGTTGAGAAACCAATCGATTCTACTGATCAGCACACAAGCAAACCAAACACAGAGTTGTAGAACACAGAAAGTATGAGCGAGTGGAAGCTTTATTTCTTCTGGATTTGAGTACAAGCTACAAGAGGAGAAGCATGAGACCGAAGATCGGTTGTTCTTGCCTTGGACCTTCTAGGCCCTATTTATATGCGGAGGAGGGTGGAGGCTTACGTCGTAAGCCTTGGACCTTCTGGCTTGCGTCGTAAGCCGGCTTACGTCGTAAGCTGGCTTCTCTTGTAAGCTGGCTTCCTCTATAAGCTGGCTTACGCCGTAAGCTGGCTTCCTTTGTAAGCTGGCTTCTAGCGTAAGCTTTCTTCTGTAGTAAGCTTCCCACTCATAATTTAATTCGTCCACAATAAGATAGGTTTCATAACATTTTGAATATATTTATGTCTCTACTGAGGGATATTTTGCGTATTTTATGCATGCTTTTAGTTTTTAAATATTTTCGGTAGTTGATTAAGACTGTTAGATTGAATATATTTTTGTCTCTATCATACTATTATGTTATTATTATGTTATGAATTTTTTAAAAAATATTCAGGTAATTAATGTCAATATCATCTTGTTAATAATGAATTAATTATGCAATATCATCTTGGTAAATAAGTTGTATTTCTTGCTCCCGCTACATGCATTTAATAGGACAGAGTTTATGCAAATTACAATTACTCCTAAAGTTACAAAAAAAACAAATATAATTGTTAAGGGTTAAAGAATTATCTTCCGTCTTCATAAATCAGTACGCTCAATATCCACACCAAATATTGGATGTATATATGAGTCTTGTTTGTGTTTTCAGTTTCTTTATATAGGTTGAGAAGATGTTTGTATCCTACTTGGACATGTAATTCTTATTCTTGGATTATGTAGGTAATTCCTGCGTTGTAATTCGAGCCATGTAATTGTATGACTCTATTTGGGATTCAACATTTCCATGTGGCAAACCGGGAAAAAAAAAGGGAAACCGGGCAAAAAAAACGCGTGAAAAAAAAGAATCGGACGAAAAAAACCGCGTGTGCGAAAAAAACCGGGAAGAAAAAACAAAAAATGAATCGGACAAAAAAAACCACGTGAGAAAAAAAAACCGGACAAAAAAAACCGCCCATGAGGGAAAAAACCGTGTGCGGTAAAAAAACCTCCCGTGAGGAAAAAAACCGTGTGCAGTAAAAAAAAACGACGGACGAAAAAAACCATCGGAAGCCTTGCGTATTTTTTAAGTAGGTATAGATAGGTTGGATTTAGACATTTTTGTTAATTCGGTCTTTTTCGAACTATTCGGTTAACCGAGGAGACTAACCGAATTGACCGAATAAAATTCGGTCTTTCACTACCTAGGACCAAATTGATGACTGAATTTCTCGGTCTCGGTCTTTTCGATCTCGGTCTTTTCGGTTCGGTCTTTTTCTACCTACCCCTAGGGGTGTGTTTGGATAATGAGAAATGGGGAGTGGGATTGAGACGGGGAAATGAATGAAGGGTTAGGATTAAATGAAAGAGGGAGAATAAATGGTTAGGATTTAAAGATGTCTTTTGGTGGGTGGAAAATCATTTCCCAAACCCATTAGCCAAACACTGCCTAGGTGATACACACTGTTACTGCGTTGGACGGACGACGGAGTGGAAGAGTGGAACGGAAGAGGCGGAGGGCGCTTGGCGGGCTTGGGATTGCAGATGCTACTGGGCCGGATCGAGCCCAACGCCACAGTTTCTTCTCGTCACAACTTCCAATTTCCCATCGCCCCGTCGCCGACTCGCCGTCTCCTTCTCCGGCTACGGCGGTCGCCGCCGGCGGTACCACTCGTCAAGTTCATCCTCTCCCTCTCCCTCTCTCTCCTCTCGCTCTCCGATCCTCTCCAATTCTGGATTGCTGCTTTCCCCCGTCGCTGCCCCCGCCAGTCCCGAATCCACAGATGCCAGGATGATGCCCGCGGGATCGGCATCCCTTCTCCTCGAGTGCTACGGCGGTGACCCTCCTCTTTCCTCCATGGAGGGGACCAGCAGCGGCGAGGAGGTCGAGGACGGGACGGGTCCCTCGCCGGAGGCGGAGGAGGACGACGACCCGGCGCCGTACGTCGGGCAGAGGTTCCCGACGCACGACGCGGCGCACGAGCTCTACAGCGGGTTCGCGAGGCGGCGCGGGTTCTCGATCCGCCGCCACCGGACGGAGGGGAAGGACGGGGTGGGGAGGGGCCTGACGAGGAGGTACTTCGTGTGCCACCGCGCTGGGAACCCGCCGGCGAAGCCCTTCGCCGCCGGCGCCGGCGACAGGCCGCAGAGGAACCGGCGGTCCTCCCGCTGCGGGTGCAAGGCGTACATGCGCATCGGCAGGAGCGCCATCGCCGCCGCGGCCGCGGGGGAGGCGGAGGGGGAGTGGCGGGTCACGGGCTTCTCCAACCACCACAACCACGAGCTCCTGGGTCAGGACCAGGTCCGCCTCCTCCCGGCGTACCGCGTCGTCTCCGGGGACGACAGGGACCGGATCCTGATGCTCGCCAGGTCCGGGATCTCCGTGCAGCAGATGATGAGGATCATGGAGCTGGAGAGGCGCGTCGAGCCGGGCAATCTGCCCTTCACAGAGAAGGATGTGAGGAACCTCATCCAGTCGTGCAGGAAGTCTGATCAGGAGGAGAGCGTCGATCTGATCAAAATGTGCAGAAGATTTCAGGAGAAGGACCCCGATTTCAAGTATGAATTCACCAAAGGCGCGAGCAACCGCGTCGAGAACGTTGCCTGGTCGTTTGCATCGTCGGTTCAGTCGTATGAGATGTTTGGTGATGCTGTTGTATTCAACACGACACATCGGTTGCCTGCTCTGGACATGCTGCTTGGTATTTGGGTTGGATTGAACAATCATGGGATGCCTTGCTTCTTTGGTTGCGCTTTTCTAAGGGAGGAAAGTCTGCAATCCTATGCATGGGCATTAAAGGTATAAAACATTCAGGGTGAAAACTCACAGTACAGTTTTTAATATCCTGTTAGCAAGTACAAAGTACTTTTTTTTTTGTTTTGAAAAAAACATTAGCAAGTCTTTCTTGTTGACAGGTATTTCTCAACTTCATGAACAGAAAGGCTCCGCTGACAATATTGACGGATGAAAATATGTACCTCAAGGAAGCAATTGAAAAGGAGCTTCCAGGCACAAAGCAAGCCCTCTGCATATGGCTTATCGCAGCCAGGTTCCCATCTTGGTTTGATGCAGTTCTTGGCGAACGGTACAATAGCTGGAAAGATGAGTTCGATAGGTTGTATAACATGGAAAGCACAATGGAGTTTGATCTTGGGTGGAGTGACATGATGAACAGCTATGGACTACATGGGAATGGGCACATTGCTAGTCTGTTTGCATCACGAACTCTCTGGGCATTACCATATTTGAGAGGGCAGTTTTTCGCAGGACTGCTTGCTTCTCCAGAAACTTCAAAGTCAATTAGTGTCTTCATTCAGCGATTCTCGAGTGCTCAGACTCGCCTAGCCCATTTCATTGAGCAGGTGAGCTTGTAAAGATTCACAAATGACTTTTTTGTGTGTGTGTGTTTGACTTTGATCCTAGAATTATGCCTTTTTATTTACGATTCCCTTCTTACTGCCCCAAGGCAGCTTACTCATACATGCTTGGTAGTATAGAAGCCTTTTTTTGTGCTTCCTCATCGTTACTTTGTGTAAATTAAAAGGCGTAATGCATTATACTGCTCATGTTTTGCATAGGTCGCAGTCGTTGCCGAGTATAAAGACCAAGCTGGGAGGCAACAAATGATGCAACACAATCTGCAAAGCATAACCCTCAAGACTGCAACTCCAATGGAAAGGCATGCGGCTGCAGTTCTCACTCCTTATGCCTTCTCTAAGCTACAAGATGAGCTTGTTGTGGCTTGTCAATATGCATCATTCCACTTGGAAGGGAATGTCTTTCTGGTCCGTCATCATACCAAGACAGAAGACGGTGGGTGCAATGTGACATGGAGCCAAAGAGAGGAGCTAATTTCTTGCAGCTGCAATATGTTTGAGTCTGCAGGGATCCTCTGCCGGCATGGCCTCCGTGTGCTCTCGACCCTCAACTACTTTCAGATCCCGGACCATTATCTCCCTCCTCGATGGCGTAGAACCTGGCCATCACCTTCCAAGGCCTTGAATGGTGCTTATTTCCACGAGTCGCCTGAGATTGGGAGAGTGAAGGCATTGCAGTCCATGGTGTCAGCTCTGGTGAGCGAAGCTTCCAAATCTACCGAGCGGATGGATATCGCGACGCGGGAGGTCTCTGCCCTGTTGTCGCGGATGAGGCAGCAACCTGTTGTCATGCACGTTTCAGGTGATGGTGTTCACAAGTAGGGGTAGCTAAACCGTGCACTCCTCCATGAGTGAGTGACGACTGACAGCTTTAGACCTGTTAGGCTGGTGTAATGCCGATGCTGTTTTCCCCTTCATTTTTAGGTACATTTTGGTAGATTTTTTAGGGATAACCATTTCTTTAGACGCAATTCTGCCCAGTTTTTCAGGGTGACCATTTCTCACCCGCATACCTTTTGCTATGCACACATCTTGCCCATATATCTAGTACCCTAGTCATTGCAATTGGAGCTTCATGGTGTGCTTTCACGCAAAATGGAAGTGAATGTCAATAATTAGCTTATGTGGTTAAACCATTCGTGCCAGCCGTCTTAGCTCAGCCGGTAGAGCGCATGGCTTTTAACCATGTGGTCGTGGGTTCGATTCCCACAGACGGCGTTCAATTTGATTTTTTTTTACTACCTCCGTCCAAAAAATTGCATTTTTAGCTCCAAGTATTTGTCCCACAAAAATTGTATTTGTAGCTATATGGGGCCCAGCAAATTGATTGATCTAGATAAGATTCCTAATGCGAGCAACAAATTTTTGGTTCCAAATCCATTTGGCGCTAAAGCATGAAATTTGGGCTGTTAATGCTTGTAATTAAGTATGCTAATTATATGGGTTAATTCTCTCAAATTTCCTTTTAATCATTTGTATATATGGAATGTGTGCATGCAGTGGGTTCATTAAATAAGGCTATTGTGGTCATTTTCCAATCATACTGTTTTGTCCTAAATTAGCTAGAAATGCAATTTTTATGGGACGGAGGGAGTACCTTTTTGGTCATTCAGTTAAGCTGATGTTTATTGGTCATCAGTTAAGTTAAAACTGAATATCATTATCAGATCATTCAAAATAAATCTTTCCTTTTTGGTCATTTAGTTAAGCTGATATTTTATTTTGGTCATCAATTAAGTCGAAACTGAACATCATCATCAGAACATTCAGTCATTCGGTTAGGCTGATGTTTTTTGGTCATCAGTTAAGTTAAAACTGAATATCATCATCTGAACATTCAAAATAAATCTTTTTCTTTTTGGTCATTTAGTTAAGCTGATAACTTTTTGGTCATCAGATAAGTCATAACTGAATATCATCATCAGAACATTCAAAATAAATCTTTACCAGCAGAGTGACAAAATCAGTACTAGGCTACTAGCACTGATTCAATCTTTCCTGGCACAGTGACAAAAAAAAGAGAGAGTACTTGGCACTGATTTATAGCGTTTAATCGTGTGTGTAATCTTATGAACAAGTGTTGTTCACAGGAACAAGTACACCAACCCTGTCCTAGCAAATAGCAACGAACTAACTGCTCTAGAAACCAAAGGCTAATCAAGAATCATCCATCGCTCGCCGTCGCCGGCGTCGCCGCGCCGGCGATGCAGCGGGGGCTGGACTTGAACCCGGCGGCCGGGAACGACTTCTTGATCGGGCCGAGGCTGACGGTGACCTCCCCGCCGGCCACCTCGACGGCGGTGACGGGCACCCAGGCGAACAGCACGCGGACGCGGACGCCCCCGAGCCCCGTGGCCCGCCCGGGCGCCACCGCGCCGGAGAGCTTGACGCCGTAGCCGACGCGGTAGCCGCCGGCCTCGGCCACGCAGCCGCCGTCGAGGAAGAGCTGGAAGGAGCCGTCGTCGTGGAGGAGGTACCGCCGGGCGGTGACCGGGAGCAGAGCGCGCGGGAGGCCGAACCGGTCCATGAGCTCCGGCACCGTCGGCGGGTCGTAGGGCCCCGCGGCGGATTCGGCGGCGGAGGCGGAGGCGGAGGCGGTAGGGACGACGAGGGCGGCGATGAGGAGGAAGGTGGAGGCCGCCGCCGCCGCCATGCGGACCATTGGGGATTGGCGGTTGCTTGTTTTGGGCGTTGGGTTTTTTCCTTTTTGACACCTTGGGCAGATTTTGGTTAGATGGCCGAAGGAACTCTTTTTATTCCACTAGACTACTAGAGTAGTTGGGTCCCAGGAGAAGGCTCAAATGCTGAGGAACCTTGAGATATTCTGTTTAGGGGGTGTTTAGATACACGGACACATATTTAAAGTATTAAACGTAGTATAATAATAAAACAAATTATATAATCCGCATGTAAACTGCGAGATAAATTTATTAAGCTTAATTAATCCGTTATTAGCAAATGTTTACTGTAGCACCACATTGTCAAATCATGACGCAATTAGGCTTAAAAGATTCGTCCAAAATGAATGAAAGAGATGAAGAAGAAATTAAAATCTAAAATGGAAGAAAGGGAGAATGAGAAATATTTTCAATTTTTTATGTTCAACTTTTTAACTTTTAGACATATTTTTGAGTATTTTGTTATATTAAAAAACAATATTATCAATTGTTTTGTTGTAATTTATTTTTATCACTAAATGTACTTTTAGCATATAAGAAAAGATGAATGGTTAACGGCATCAAACATAAATCGAATGGCGTAGTACAGTATAAGCAATGTCCAAACTGATTTGGTCCAGTTTTAATAAGCCAAATGAACTTGATACTATATTAACAAACCAATTTCCCTTGCAACCATGTGCAATTTTAGGCCCTATTTATTTAGGCTTATAAATCAACTTATAAGCTTAAAATTCTAACCTTAAACAAATGAATAGCTTCTAAAAAAAACACACAAGTCACTATTACACTAGTTAGGTTGAAGTAGCTTTTTTTTCATATAAACAGTGGAAATAGGACTCCACCATTAAACTCTTGAACTTAAGGTTTAAAAGGCAACAATTTATAAACCATATAAGACAAAACATTGACTTAAAAGTCTAAGACAATAAATCTAAGCTCAAACCAAGAGAACCTTAAGGTTGCGTTCTAAAGTGAGTTTTGGGTGGGCTAGTTTCTCATTTATCGTGAATACATTTCCAAATACTGAACGGTGTGTTTCATATAAAAATTTTCTATTTAAAAGTCTTTTTTTCAAAATAAATCTATTTTTAAAATTATAATAATTAATTCACATCGAATCTTTAGACACATGCATAAAGCATTAAATATATATAAATAAAAAACTAATTACACAGTTAGGGGGGAAATTGCGAGACGAATCTTTTGAGTCTAATTAGTCCATGATTAGCCATAAATGCTACAGTAACCCATATGTGCTAATGACAGATTAATTAGGCTCAAAAGATTTGTCTCACGGTTTCCAGACGAGTTATGAAATTAGTTTTTTCATTCATATCCAAAAAACCTTTCCGATATCCGGTCAAACATCCGATGTGACACCTAATTTTTTTTTCGCGAACTAAACAGGCCCTTATTGGCATATGAGCTCCACTTACCCTTGGCCTTATATCAAGGGGGCAGTCATGAGTCATTTGCAGAATATGTTGCTAGCTGATACATCGTGGATACTTACATGTGGGAGTTTCCGTTCCTTTCCAATATAAGGAGTGGATAAAGTTTTGGATATTCCTGGTACGCTTTTTAAACTGCTAAACGGTGTGTTTCGTGCAAAAACTTTTTATATAAAAGTTGTTATAAAATATTAGATTAATCTATTTTTCAAGTTTGTAATAATTAAAACTCAATTAATCACACGTTATTATCATCTCATTTTACATGAAACACTTAATTTTTATCTTCATCTTTATTTTCAGGATATTCAAATACCACCTAAGAGTAACTGTTGTTTGTAAATGGTCTGTTCTTTCAACCATAGTGGGAGCAATTAAAGTGTTTGATTTGTAAGGGGGTGTTTGGGAGAGAGGTCTCTCCCAAACACCCCCTAAGAAGATCTGCTGATTGCAGTGATGCTGGTGTGAATTGATGACCTCTGGGATATTCCACGTGTTGATTTCCTTTGGTTGGCAGGTGAACATGACAAGTGTCCAACTGTCCATCTCTCTGTTCCTGAAACCCTGGATGATCTGCAGATATTTTACTGATCATTGATCAGGAGTTCATACACTTGTCCCGATCCTATTTGCTTACCTTGCTAAACGTCTAATCCAAATTGGCGCGCGAAATGAAGAGCAGTAATTCAGACGGAATTGCCATGCCATACGGATCGGATACGGTTCCATTTCCTTCTAACGTACTTCCAAGTAATCCTCTCATCTCAACTCAGCAGGTTTGGATGTTTGATTCTACATTATCAAAGTGTCTGATCCGATCACCACATGATCTAGTGGTTAAACGAAAATAGATTGCTAAGTTCTTCAGCTTCCAGAGCAGTAGAAAATAGGAATGTAGTGAAGATACATGCACGGATCGTCGTCGTCGTCGTCAGTGGATGGACCGATCGACGGTGGCGGCGTCGTCAGCTCCTGTAGCTGCCGGCGAAGTAGGCGAGGCAGCCGACGAGGGCGGCGTTGGTGTACGTCGTCGGCTCCGACCGGTCGTAGTCGCCGCGCTCGTCAGGGAACGCGTCGTGCTGGTCCGGCCCGCCGACGACGGCGCCGGTGTGGACGTTGGGGTTGGCGCCGCCGGCGTTGAAGTAGCCGCTGAACCCTTCCTGGCAGCCGATGTGCGCCGGGTACGCCGCCACCGACGGCATCGACGCCCCCCTGTGGTGTATCCTCTGCGGGAACCGCGCGCCGTAGCCCACCATGTACGACATCCCCTGCGGGTTCGCGCCCAGGATGTAGTCCACCTGAGGAAAGGATGACGACGACCAGAACAAGCTCAGTATGTCGTCGAGTCTACGAGAATCGGTAGCCAAGCGTCTTTTATTCTGTTTTAGATATTGTAATATCTATATAATTACTGGCTAGAATCTACGCGATTTGTGTTAACTTGTAGTTCAGGTCTTCAGGTGATCGTTTTTTCAAGGAGTTTGGGAGTTGTCCCACCACTCGATTTTGTTTAACGCTAAACTCATTGTTGTGTGCCTGCTAGCAGAGACCGAAATGTAATTAACTATTTCTATTATTAAAAAAAATATGTTGACGAGTCCTTAGAGGAAGACGACGACGACGTGGTGCTGGATACAAATCATCTGCAATACTGCTGATGCAAGTAGCAGTGACTGACATGTGGGTCCGGACCCACATATAGTATCTGCTACTGCATCAACAGTACTGCTGACAATCCCCAGTGGTGGTGCTGGTACAGACATACCTGTTTCCTGGCGAGAGCTCGGAGGGTCTTGGCGGTGACAGGGAGGCTCTGGCAGGAGAAGGTGTGGTTGGAGACGGCCATGTACTTGGCGAACGTGGTGAGGAGGAAGCTGGCCGAGGTGACGTACTGCAGGTTGGCGTGACCGGACTTGTACATCATCCCGCCGGGCGTGTACTGCGTCGTCGACGACGGCGACCCCGGCAGGATCCTACAGATGAAGTCCTCCGCCAGCCGCCGGAACGCGTCCAGCCTCCGATCGCCATTCACCAGCGCCCTCTGCTCGTGCCCATGCACGGACGGACGAACAATGTCAAATTTGGGAGTCAGATGTGGCTGAGTTCTTATCTCTACTTTTCCAACCCACTTTCCTCATTTTTCACTCAGTTAAACAGTGCATTTTTTATAAAAAATTTCTATATAGAAGTTATTTTCAAAAATCATATTAATCTATTTTTCAAATAGATACATTAAACGCTGCTTCGTTTTGCGTGCTAGGGAGCGACGGTTCCCAACCCTCACTACCGAACACAGCCATAATGGAGGTGGTGATCGGTGAGAGCTCGCTGCGCGCCTTACCCGCGACAGGAGGACGCGCGCTCCGGCGAGCTTGTTGTCCCAGCTGAACATGTCGACGCCGTCGTTGGCGCCGAGGGAGGCGAGGTAGTCGAGGTAGGAGGCGTTCCTCGTCGCCCAGAGAAGCCACGCGGACCCCCACAGGAGCTCGTCCTGGTAGCCGGAGTAGGAGGCGTAGTAGGCGCCCACGTCGCCGCCAACGTGGTCGCTGTACTTCCCCTGGTGCCGCACGGCGAACGCCATGACGTCCCTCGCCGCCGCGAGCAGCCTCCGGGAGTACCCCGGGTCGGCGGCCCTGAGCGCCAGCGACGCGGCGGCGAGCGCCGCCGCGGTCTCGGCGGCCACGTCCGACCCGGGGCTCGACGCCGACACCGAGTACACGGCCCGCGGCGTGTCCATGTCCTCCGGCCGCTCCCAGCACCGGTGGTCGGCGTCGGGGTCGCCGACGCCGACGTAGAGCACACCCGGGGTCGCCGTCGCCGCCCTGAGGAGGTAGTCCGCCGCCCACCGCACCGCGTCGCGCGCGTCGCGGAGTACGCGCCCCCGCATCCGCCCGCCGTACTCCACGACGCCCCACGACAGCATCGTCGTCGTGAACGCCATCGGGAACCCGAACTTGACGTTGTCGCCGCCGTCGTAGTAGCCGCCGGTGAGGTCAACCTGCCACAAAGTCAAAACCACAGGTCAACACGTTGACTAAAAGGTCAACACACGGGAGGGAGCAGATGCCATGAAGAACCGTACGTTCGCCGCCGAACCGTCGGAGAGGCCGGAGTTGGACCTCCACTTGACGGCCTGGTCCGGCGGAAGGCGGCCGGACCTCTGCCCTTGGAAGAAGAGAATCGACTTGGCGAGCGCGTCGGCGTAATCAGGGTGTCCGGCGGCGGCGGCGGCGACGACGACATGGCCGGAGAATGACAAGACGGCGGCGGCGACAAGCACGAGAGCCCGCCATGATGATGATGACGACGACGGCGACATTATCATCATCCTCGAGCAGCTCACCATCATCGTCTTCTAATCTTCTTCTACCCACTACAAACGCAACGAATGCACGATGATTTATACTGCTGCTATCGATCGACGAGCGGATGCAAATATGCATGTGGCGGTTTAGTTTATGCTATCTTCTCTCGAGATCTTGCACCGAAAACCGCGACAGGTCAGAGGCTCAGAGCGAAGCGAACGATCATGGGGTTGAAGTCTCGACAAGATCCAAGATTGCTCGCGATATATAATGATCTTTTCTGGATGGTTTAGCATCTGGTTTATTGTTGCTCTGAAGCTAATCATACTGCAACTGTGCTTGCTTGCTATGTTTCTGAAGGAAAAAAAAAACACTACTAATACTAGTAGGAATCTTTGATTGAAAATGGCGCGAGATGGCGGCGGTAATTGACGATGGATCTCGTACGCCAAGGCGTCCTCTCGGTTTGCGGTTCTTTGAGAGATCGGGATGCTGCCTCGGAGTGTGCTAATTTTTTCTCAAGGCTTGGTGACTTGAGTGCCACTTAAAGCTAGATTAGAGGAGAAAGGCCATGGTGATCCATGGAGAAAAAAATAGTGCAGGCTATATCTCGAGGCCTCAGGCTTTGTGGCAGAGAAACCGGATCATTTTACGAAAACTGATAAAAATTTCGACGTTTTAACATAGGACGGAAGCATATTCCGAGTGAAATTTCGAATGGTTTTCAGGAATTCAATTTTGAAACATTGAAGTTTGATCAAAATTTAATAAAAAAAAATCGTCGAAAAACGGCATACAAGATGGAATCCAGCACCCAACCCGAAAGAGCGAAGCGAGCCAACCGTGCTGGTGAAAGAGCGAGACGCAGGAGAGGAGACGAGTTTTTTATATTTTTATATTCATTTTTCAAAAATTTATAAGTAAATTCTCATTTCAAAGTTTTATAAAAATATGCTCCTCCCATCCTACCATTAAGCGAGGCATATAAATTGTGCCTACGATAAGGCAATTTATATAACATGCCACCTCGCGGGAGAGGCGCACCGTGATAATTTTTGCAGGCGCCCTCTTCTTGCTTTCCGTAGGGTGACTTAGTTTGATGACACTAACAATAGTTTGGTGATGCATGGAGCGCGTTATGAAAATTTTGCAAGCAGGCCCCTCTTAGTGATAGGGGCCGCATTCAAAATTGCCATGACGCTCTCGCCTTGTGCCACATCGTTTAATCCGCCCTACCGTAGAATGATTTATATTCCCCGTTGGATGGTATTTCTGCAAATCTTTTGAAACAGTAATTTATTTTTTAAATCTTTTAAAAATGAATTAAAAAATTTGAGACACAGACACCATGCGCTGCAACCCACCAATTGCTGGGGTACGATCTAACAGCCCACGAGGAGGAACGGGAATTCTTCCTCCGTGTGGCCCATACATGTTATAGGCCGGAACAAGTGGGACTAGGCCTTAATGAGGCCCATTCACTCGGACATAATAGAAAGAGTAAATTTTACAAAACTACATATTATATTTTATAGTTCAAGTTATAAAAAATCACACGCGCTTTAACATCTGGCACTTAACTACGTATATTTTAGTACTGAAGTTTCACAAAACTAAGCTATTAATGAATGAATCTATCGGCGAGATGGCGTGGCTGTTTATCTACTTATATTTAGAATGTGGATGTCGCATCGTGGATGTTCCACCTCGGATGAAGTACTCAAGTTCGGATCCTAGGTGGAACAACCACGTAATCTCATGGGTGGATGTATTCTCTGATAGTATATTTTTATGAAACTTTGATACCAAAATATATGTATTTAAATGCGAAGTGTTAAAAATATTTATGGATTTGTGCAACTTGAACCATAGACTATATAGTTATGTGAAATTTACTTTGATACAAAATGGTACAATAAGTAATTTGCTGTAATACAAAAAATAAAAAAAAATATTTATGGATTTGTGCAACTTGAACCATAGACTATGTAGTGATGTGAAATTTACTCTGATACAAAATGGTACAATAAGTAATTTGCTGTAATACAAAAAATAAAAAACCGTGGATGGCAGGATTCGAACCTACGCGGGCAGAGCCCACATGATTTCTAGTCATGCCCAATAACCACTCTGGCACGTCCACCGCTATGTTTAATTATGGATGCAAAGAAGTTTTTTTATTATAAATACATTTCGGAGGACATGATGAGGGAGAAGTTTGTCGATACGAGTGTGTTGCAGACTTCAGTCGCGAATGCTGTCCCAAGTGTTTACAAGGCAGCAGGCCCCAACGTGTTACTTATTACTTCCTCCCACAAAAAAAAAATACAATGATTTGATATCATCTAGATAATGAGATCAAATCCCTAGCTGGGTTGTCTTTTTTTTTTACGGAGGGAGTAGTTACTTACGATGTGGAGTATAACGGAGTATGCGGTACTTCATCATCTTCAAATATAAGATTTTTTTATTAAATGTGATATATTATAATACTATGAATCTGAACATTTAAACCGACTTTTATCCAGATTCCTATTATTAAGATATGTCACATCTAACTAAATCACTTGTATTTTCGGGATGGATGGAGTATTAGGATCAGTTTGAGTCTCTAACCTAATTTAGTTTTCTAGTGGCACGTAAAACAAGATAAGCTATTAGCATACGAACAATTGATTAATTATTAAAAACTTTTAAAATAGGTTTATTTTATTTTTTAAAGAAACTTCTATATAAAAAGTTTTTGCAAACAGCACATCATTTAGCAGTTGAAAGACACGCTAACAAAAAAAACAAGAAAGTTGTACTCCCTCCATTTCAGGTTATAAGTCGTTTTATCTTTAGTCAAAGTCAAACTGTTTTAAATTTGGCTAAGTTTATAGACAAATATAGTAATATTTATAATACTAAATTAGTTTCATCAAATTAATAATTGAATATATTTTCACAATAAATTTGTCTTAGGTTAAAAATGTTACTACTCTTTTCTACAAACTTGGTTAAATTTAAAGCAGTTTGACTTTGACCAAAGTCAAAACATCTTATAACCTGAAACGGAGATAGTAATTTAAAGTTGAAGAACATAATATAAAAAAAAGAAACGGATTATTATTCCATAGAAACTGTAAGTTCATCTGAGCATCAACAAAAGTCTCAATAGAGCGTTTGTGTGTTATTCCAAAAAATGTCGCGTATCCGCGGATAACGTCTTCTCCATGGGAAGACGTATTTCGTTAACAACGTCTTCTCCGAAGGAAGGCGTATTTCAAGCCATCTTCTTCGCCTTCCCCCACCGGCTTCCGTATCCTCGGATAGCGTCTTCTCCGAAGGAAGGCGTATTTTTCAAGCCGTCCTCGTCTTCCCTTCTAGCTTCCGCCCTTCGCTTCTCTCTCCTCCTCTCTTCGTCTCCCTCGAGAGTCGAGATCCTTCTCCTCCCAAACTCCCCAAACTCTCCAAACCCGCCTCCTACCCATTTCGCTCGCCGCCTCCGACGCCGCGGCCGCCGCCACCGCCACCCATGGAGCCCGCGCCGCTCGCCTCGCTGCAGGAGGAGGGTGAGGGGGAGCCCGGCGAGTCGCCGTCCTCCGCCGCCGCCGCCGTGCCGCCCCGCCCCGCCACGCAGTAAGTCACCCCCTCCCACTCCCCCTCCCCATCCCCCTGCCCGCCGCGCCCCACGCCATCCCCCCCGTGGCGTGGAAGGCGGAAACCCTAGCTGACGCGCCTGGCCTGACCTTCATCATCCATCCCCCCTCGCGCAGCCACTCGCTCCACAAGTACGCGCCGCTGGACTGGTCGGCCTACTTCGACGAGGAGCGCCGCGTCGCCATCCCCGACACCGAAGACGTGCGTTGCGCTTGCGCGTCCTGGGAGTAGAGGACCATTCTTTTAAAATTTTTCTCCCGGCCGGTGTGATCTTGTAAATAAATATATCATGTTCCCTTTTATGGTGTGGTTTTCCTTGTAGGTTTTCAATGTGTACATGGCCAGATCGGAGGGGCCTGTCGTGTTCTGCCTGCATGGTGGCGGCTACTCCGGGTACGTCTGCTCCACGGGCTAACATGCCGAATTGTCCGTTTCGCTGGTGAATTGCGTGGATGTTCATGGCATTTCAGTTAACAACTTGCTGGAAATGATTAGCATGGAACCAAAAATGATTTTCTGAATTGGGTGTAAAAAAAATGCTGGATATGAAAGGTGGGACTTTCATATCAATGATATTAAGCAGGGAGTGAGTCTCGAACCCAGGCCGGCTAGCCGACCAATTTGCGGTGCTAGCCAGTAAGACTCTGGACCCAGGCCGGATTGGGTGTAGGTATGTGGTTTACATGGTAATAGTCTTATTGAGGATGGTCCTGTGGGCCAAAAAAAAACTCGCAGACAGATTGAAGTTATCAGCACTTAAAGTGCCGAGGGCTGTGCTGCAATAATCCTTCTTGTGTTATTTTACTTTTTAAGGATAAAGGATTAAATGGTAATACTGTAAAATGCAGAAGTGTCTTATCTTTTTGGATATCTATAGAAGGCCTTCCATAGAGCCTTCTTTGCACTACGGAAAATGAACCAAACCCTACTTGTGTTGCAGCGTACTCCCTCCGTCCCAAAAAAAGTGAATCTAGGACTGGATGTGACACATTATAGTACAACGAATCTGGAGAGGGGTATGTCCAGATTCGTTGGATTAGGATGTGTCACATCCAGTACTAGTTTTTTTTTTGTGGGACGGAGGGAGTAGAATTTGTTGGTAAATTTTAGTTTTGATAATGATTTGACAAAAGAATCGAGATAAATGCAGAAAGCCTGGAATTAAATTGGTTTTATCGTGAAAATCGAAAGCGTTGCTGTTTAATCTTGATTCTATTTTGGGTAGGGAGCATAAGAAACTATCATTTCCTTTTTTATTCAAATTAATCATGCATAAGTTACTTTATTTGACTTGATTATTACTCCTTATGAAATGATGCAATAAGTCTTAAATTAATATATGTGTTCTTACATTGTGTTGATTATTCCCCAATCTACCTTAGGCTTTCGTTTGCTCTAGCAGCAAGTCGTATGAAGGAAAAGGCTCGTGTTGTTTCTATGGATCTGCGAGGGCATGGAAAATCAACCACAAGTGATGATTCAGATTTGTCCATTGAAGTATGTCCTTCAATTTGTACACGAATTAATCCTCTTGATAAAACATTTGCTCTTCCTCATATAATAATATATGTCATTAACTCAACTTAATAACTTATTAATTTTTGCTGAACACATGAATACAATATTTTACCTTTTCCATCTTTGCAATTGCAGACTCTCAGCAGCGATGTCATAGCTGTTTTACGCACATTGTATGGAGATTCTCCACCAGCCATTATACTTGTTGGGCATAGGTGAGTTGGCACCATGGACTTTGTACCCATTGCACGTGCACTCTTTATCTGAAATAAGATATTAAGATTGACTGAAAGTTCTACTTCTCTATGCTATTTCTCTCCAAAGGATAATGTAATGTATAAAATCCTTTGAATGGTGCACATATACCATAATCTGGGAAGTATAGCTAAAAGGCAATTTGACTTTTAGTTTCATTTGTGCTTCTACTTCAGTGCTTAATACAATGCTTTTGTTTTCTTTTCCGGATTTGGCAGGCTATTTTTTTTTCATTACTAGCATTGCCATTAGCCTCGAGTGATTGAAATTCAATTAAATAGTTATTTATCCTTTTTAGCATGGGCGGTTCTGTGGCTATACATGTGGCCGCAAAGAAAGTTATTCGCAATCTTCACGGTCTTGTTGTTATTGATGTAGTTGAGGTTAGCTATTCCTTACTTAACCACTTATATTATGATTTACAATTTTTCTTATTGCTGATATCAAATGCTTTTTCCAAAACAGGGAACAGCAATGGCTTCATTGATTCATATGCAGAAGATCTTAGCAAATCGAGCGCAACATTTCCCTAGCATTGAAAAAGCTGTATGGTGATGTAGTCCTCCATGACAATTTGAATATTGCTAGCAATCTTATTATTTAGAAAACATATCTTGTTTAGCTTATTAGTTACTCCCTCTGTCCCAGAATATAAGAAGTTTTAGAGTTGGACATGGTTATTAAGAAAGTAGGTAGAAGTGAATGGTGGAGGGTTGTGATTGGATGAGTAGTGGAGGTAGGTGGGAAAAGTGAATGGTGGAGGGTTGTGATTGGTTGGGAAGAGAATGTTGATGGAAAAGTTGTTATATTTTGGGACGGAGGGGAGTATCATTTATGAGATATGTTCCTGTAAAGAAACATTCTGATGAAAAAAAGGTATGGAGGAATGCATTTGATGTTTTAAGCTCATAAACGTCATTGGCCTGTAATAGGAGGAAATCAAACAAACATGCAATGATGGTCAAGATCTTGAATTTCTAATAATAGGCATGCTAGTAAAGTCAGTTGATTATGGTCATGCTTACTATTGCAGCAGTAAACCTTGTTTCAATAATATCCTTTCACGTAACTATGCAGATTGAATGGAGTGTCAAAGGTGGGCCACTCAGGAACATTGATTCTGCTCGTGTTTCGATTCCATCTACCTTGAAATATGATGAATCAAGGGAATGGTAAAAAACTAGCTTGCATAGTACATGCTTGTATTTTGCAGTTCAATGCGCATATGCAAAACTCTGCAAAAAAGCTTTACCCTTCCTTGAAAACCTAAGTGAACTTTCATACTTGGTTTCAGCTATACATATCGAACTCCTCTCGAGGAAACAGAAAAATACTGGAAAGGATGGTACGCTTTCAGTTTACTGGTGTTCTTTATGTTTCAATCGCTTCTGTTTAAATTCTGGTATTTCTGAACGCCTTTTTGTGATCATTACAATTTAAAAGCATGTTATTACTACTACTATATACTGTATAAAAGTATTGGTCATATTTAATTACAAGTATCTAACTCTTCATTACCTACGTAACAGTATTGATACTACTGTATTCTCTTATCCCTGTCATGTTTTGATTTAACAAAGATCTACTTTTTTGGTTCCTACACAGTAATATTAATTCTATTGTATTATTCTCTTATCTTATATGTCTGGAAGCTTGAGCTATCTTGAATTTATCGAATAAAACAGAGAATAGGGTCAATGAGTTGTTTCAGAAGTGGTAACCACATAACAAAATAGCAGCAAACATGGGGTGAACTAGGCCAGATTTCAGTTTCAAATAACATCGTTTATTTTTAGGAATACTTGAGTTATTTGTTTATCTCCTTTTGGTTGATACTGAAATATGAAATGTTTCTGTTTTAGGTATGAAGGTCTTTCTGAAAAGTTCTTGTCTTGTCCAGTGCAAAAGGTCCTATTATTAGCTGGAACTGATAGGTTGGACAGGTTTGTATTTATCTTTCTAGTGTAATGATGTTAACAATTTTCTCATTCATGATGATTGCCCTGTTGAACTCGGACCTCTATCATTATTAGCTCAATGTAATTTGTATTTAATTGATTACAAAATTTTATGCTTCCTGTTAGCTGCAATGGCATGCTATATATCCTTGGGTTTTCTACGGCCAAGCAGTAGTGCATTTTAAGGAGTTTTAATTAATCTGCCATTAGGCTAAACTGCACTAGTGATCAGGCTATCAAAATTTTGTGGCAACCTATTTGTACTGCGAAAAGCGAATTATATTATAAGTCTTTTGTTTCTGAGGAACATCTGGTTATGTTAAATCAATCAGCTGGTATGTGTTGAAGTTGATGCCTCAAGATATATGTTCCTATGAAACACAGACCATTGCTTTACTTCCTCAACCTATGTATAGGTCCTTCCAAAACAGAACTGCACATAGATTACACTTCACAATCTATCCCACCTGTACAGGTATGCTATCAGATCAGGAAATGAGAAATGACTCGAGCACACAAAATGCTACTTCTATTTAAGCTATTTGTCTTATGAAAACTATTCGATTAATGCATATATTTTTCTTATCACCCATTCTTAGTGCTTTGATTTGTGAAAATTGCATCATTTTTTAACACTTCTATGAACCATTATGGAGGACATATTGGTAATGCATTGGTTTGTCAATATGTTTTGCAGAGCTTTAACAATTGGTCAAATGCAAGGAAAGTTTCAAATGGTGGTGGTTCGACACACTGGACATGCCATACAGGTTAGCTCCTAGCCTCCTACAGTCCTACCGTAAGGCTTTCAACATTATTATTCTAATGATATCAAGGCACCCCCTTTCTAGCATTATTTCAATTTCTGCTTTTCTCCCTGCTCCTAGAGCCATCCTGCCTAGCAGCTCTAGGGTTTACTTTAAAAAAGTCACAAAAACCAATAATATGTAGAGGCAGCACATGAATTAACAACCAAAGGTTCATTTATCGAGTGTTGTTCGTTATGTTATGTAAGTATGATTGCTAACAAGATCATCGAGCTGATGAATTATTTTGTAATGGATTGTTAACATACCATCGAAAATTTCCTTTCAGGAAGATGTGCCTGAAGAATTTGCATCGCACATACTAAATTTCATAGCTCGCAACAAAATAGGTCCTAATGGTGTTGAGGTCAGTACTGCCTTAGCATTACACTTTTCAAATATTTACTCTTTTACCCATTTTTCAATGAACCTAATGCCTGTTACTTTTCTTCTCAGATTCCTGGACTGATTAAAAAATGGCAGCATTAGACGGAACGGACCTTGCGTTCCAATGTTGACAGTTTTTAGGAAAACGATGAGGCTTCTATCTCCACCGGATTGCCATATTTTCCACAGGGTAGAAGGTGTTGCAAGAAGATTGGGGATATCATAGGCACGAGCGATCTAGGTTTAACCATTCTGTTGCCGCTCGCCTTGATGCATGTCATGAGTGATTTTTATATGACACGGCTTGTGAATTCCTTTCATGGCAGGTTGTGAGAGTGAATAAAATGGAGTAATTTGACTGCTTTCAAATGCTTGTGAGAGTGTTAGATTGTGAATGTGATGCACATACTCCAGAAAAATACAAGGAAGCCAGGATTACATTGTTCGCTCTACCAGCTAGAGGCATGGGATTCAATTTTCTCCTTTCCAGCGGAACAATGATTATTCGTACGCTGATTTTTCATGGCCTGAGGTGTAATCAATGATGGGTCAAGTTATGCATAGACTAGGCAATCAAAGATTCAGGCTACTGCATGGGTATATAGTCCCTTCGAGGATTGATAGTTCAGAATTAAATCAAAGCTACACAAATTGGTAGCAGAATTCAATGCGCAATGTTATTTGCCAACCACCAAAGCATGGATAGCATCAGGATTCAATGGATCTGCCCACCCGATACGAGGCCTACGTATGAATGGTTAGGGCACCCACAATGGTTATCTATAGGCTCTCTACAAGAGAACGAGACAATAGATTAGAGAGCTATAGATACCCATGTAGACATACCATTGAAGTGGTTTACTATTAATCTAGTCTATTGTTGAGATGTATATGTTTTATAGATAGCACCTTATTTTACCATTGCGGGTGCTCTTAGAGAAAAACACAGATTTTGGTAGGACTGCGTATGCAAAACAAAGGATTATAGACGATTGGAAAAACATGAATAGCCGTTTGGATAGAACGTAGGGGAAAAATGATTTTAAGCAATGCATGATTTCACTTTGTTCAGTTTCACAGGATTGTTCAGATGCACCACCATTTATAAAAACAAACATAAATGGGTAAACAACAGATGAAGTATAAAGAACAGGAGTCACAGAGTTTAACAATACGGTTCCAAGAGTTCAACAATATAGTTGCACCCAAATCAAGTAGGATGTGAGGCATAAAATCCTAATATAAGAAACTCAAGCTAGGCAACAATAATCACTCCTATGAGCCCATCAAGTAGGATGTGAAGCATAAAACCCTACAATAAAAAAACTCAAGCTTGGCAACAATAATTACTCGTATGAGCCCAACAAGCTTGTTATCAGAGTGGACCACTAAGCTAGATAAATTGTGAAGTGAGCGTAACTTAACTGGTTAGTTTACTTGTGATGGAACCAACCTATCGACAGTGAGACGTTCGTGGTGATTACGTCAATATCAAGATATGTTATCTAGAGGTGCGTGGTGACTTCGTCAATTTCAAGATATATTGGCTTAAACTTATAGGGTAGGGTGTACGTTAATTGCGAAGTGAGTGTAACTTAACTGGTTAACTTACTTGTGATGGAACCAACCCGTTGACAATGAGACGTTGGTGATGATTTCGTCAATCTCAAGATATGTTAGTCAAGTCTTATAGAGGTAGGGGTAGGGTGTGTGTTAATTGGTGGTAGGGTGTGCGTGTGTGTATTTATAGGGGTGAGTGTGCGTGCATTGTGAACACCTAAATTTGTAATGTGTCAGAAAAATAAATCATGTTATTATTGTTCATAACTGACAACATGCCAATTATACTCCAGTCGTAAATCAAAGGAGTTAACTGTTGGCTAAATCTACAATTATGCAAGCTAAAGAATTGGCCACTAGAAGTGCTCGGAAGCTCGGTATTGCGGTGGATCATGGTAAAATCTTTGGTTGCAATTGCTTTTGATCAGAGTTTGACACACTGTTTTCCTTTTGATCTATGTTGCAAACGATGGTATTATTGTGTTCCATATAGAAATGGGGAGAGGCACGACAATTGTACAACATATTTTTATCTAACCTTTATTTTATTTGTAAAACAAATTACAACGATAATAAGTTTTTCACTTTCACGGTATCTTTTTTTTTTTTAAAAAAAAGCATGCATATCACTAGTTCACTACAACCACAAACTGATCATTATTAAGTTTTTTTTCTCGATGCACTACACCATATAATAGGTAAAGTATGCCTGGTCATTTCACTAGCCTATAGAAACTATTGTACAGGGTATAACTTCTGTTCATGGCGACATGCATGAAGAAAAGAAAGGAGAACGATAACCTAATCTAATTTGTTCTATGTTTACAAAATTGGGGAGATAGCTCTCAGCAACAACCACATAATAAATCTGAAGCATCTCCCAATGTCTTGTCCTTAGAATGAAAAGCTGAAACATATGTCAAATCATAAGGCTCAGCCATCAAAGATTCACAGGGCAATGGAATGACTTGTTTGCAGCTCAATATGCTCTTGGTTTCTTACTTCAAAGGTTTCCGCAACTGGGAAATACACCAGAATAACAATACCAAGCATAGCAGCAATCATCAGGACAAGGAAGGAGACAAACACGAGAGATTCATGGACTATTTCACCTGGCCATGGAAGAACCGAGAATCCAAGAAACATAGCTCGAGGAAGCAGTATTCCGGTGGCAAAAATTAGCATATATATCCTCCGTCGAAGCCCCTTGTTGATCACTAAAGATAATATCTGCCCTCCAACAAATATGACATAAAGAGTTAACACGGTGTAGAACGTCCCAAGAAATATGCTGCTCAACAATGGGTATGTGCATGCAACATCGCCATCATGGACTGAAGAGGCTGAATACCAATACTTTGCAACCTTTGATGTCTGTCCATCGTTTGAAGCAATATGAGGACCAATAAAAACTACACAAGCTTCCCATATGAGTGAGGGTGAGCAGAGCATAAACACTGCACATATGGTCCTCTGGTTCCATTTACGATTTAAGGCACCAACCTCTTGATTTTGCAATGCTGCACTAAGAAGGAAAGCTAGCAACAGGAACAACCCTGGTTCTGCAAACCCCAAATTTGAGACGATGTAAAATTTGCATACATTGGCTTGCCATGTCTGATCAGAAATGAACCTCCCCTCCCCATTGACAAATGTGAGCCGCAACACCTCTCCAACACCCCACCATAGTGCAACCAGTATTAATGTTATGCGAGTCAGCCATGGCCCATTGAAGTAGCTAAGCTGCTCGTCATTCGCTTGGTAGTAATTTCTCCTCCTCCGTTTGATCAACAATTGGAAGTTCAGTGAGTGGCACAGGCAAATAAGGCCCAAGATGGAGACGATGGAGATCAGAACAATGGTCACCACACCAATGATATTGGTGAAAAATGTTATCGGGTGCATCACATAAAGCACACCAACTCGAGACTTCCAGGCATTCTCACTTTTATCATCAAAACAGAGGCAGCTCCGACGCCCTACAAGCCAAGCTAAACATTAAGAGAGGAAGATTACAAGGACAAGAGAAGCAAATTATTTACAGATGGAGGATTTGTACAGGGCGGTGGGCCAACAAACTAACATTAATCGAATTAAGAATTTGATTGATCAACTGCAGGTTTTAAACACTTGATAGATGAAGCTTCTAATCTATACGCATGTATAGGTTGGGATTTTAATTCAAGTTTCCAGCCAACACAAATGGATGAGCTAGGATTATGGCACTTTGCCTTAAACTGCTTATCAATGCTCTCACGGGGACTCAGGCCCCTTGCCAGCCCGCGGTGTACTTGACCAATTAGAAAATAGCATGGTAAAATTACATACCTAGTTCTTCTTCTAGATTTGATAAGCAGAATGTGCACGCGTGTGCGAGTCTAATGGGTGTTGGGCACACGCACGCATACAATCAAATGTATTGTCAATGAACATAGAGGGGCTCAAGCATACAAAAAATAAATATACCACTATTGTTCTATTGTCAACCAAATTAGAAGGGGAATTGATCATAAATCCCCGTCCAGATAAAAAATTGAGGATTTAAGCTTATGTGCTTATACTGACATGGGGGATCATTTTAAGGTTATTGACTGGTATGGAATGGCGATAAATATAAATTCTTAATTTCAATCTAAAGGAGGGTATATGATCGAACCTCCGCAATTTGGGAATCCATACTTACACAACAACAACAAAACAAAGCAAATGATCAAAACATGTCTAGAATCAACGATCTCACGCACAAAACGTACATCTCATCTAACTATGCCAATACCTAAAAATTAAGGAAAAATCGAGTGGTGATTAGATGAAGATATAGATTCAGGAATAGCGCCAATCAGGCCCTCATCTCACCTGCCGCCCCGCCGACGGTAGGCACAGAGCCGCCGCCGCCGCTGCACGCACGTACGCCTGCCGCCCGCGATCGCACCGCGGCCAAGCTGGTCTCTCGGCTCGGCCCCCCTCCCTCGTACGTCCAGGTAGAGCACACGGCCGCGCGGCGCGGCGTCGCGTCGCGTCGCCCACTCCTCCTCTTCCTCCTCCGCCGCCGCCGCCGCCGCGCGCGCGATCGCCGGCTCGCCCTAGCACGCGCAACCGCGCAGGCGAAGCCCCCAGAGAGAGAGAGGGGGAGATGGTTGGGAGAGGAGAGGACGATTGATTACAGCTGTATTTTTAAAAAGTTTCCCTTTTCTTTTTTGGATTTTCTTTTTTTTTTTGTCCCCGCGTATTTATAACTGCCCCTATCTACAGAGGCTCCGTTTGGCTAATGGGTTATACCCATTGGGAAATGGATATAATATCCTGGTAGGATGTGGTGGTAGTTTATATGAAGGGAAATTTTATCCCATGTTTGGTTGGATGGATTGGAAAAGAAAGTTTCTAGAAGAATGACCAAAATACCCCTTCAAATTATGCTAAATGAGTAAACAAACAGCATAGCTATAAGTTCAAATGGTGAGGGTAATTCAGTAATTTTCCCTAGCGGTCAATCTACCCTCAATCAAGTAGGATTCTATATCCCACTCCCATCCACACCCAAACGGTGGAAATATGAAAAATGGAAATAACATCCATTTCCCACACTCCTCATCCCATTTGCCAAACAGAGCCAAAGTGACTTTTAATTTGTGTCCTTCTCTGGCTGCACGTATCATCTGTCAGAGTGAGGATAATATTGTAGAGCTCACTTCTTACTGTAGCCCACATTAAAATCAACATATATAATAAATTAGCTATAATGTTGTCTATAATTTTTTTCTCCTATTTCTATCTCTCACTTATACATTTAATGTATTTGTCTTAGAACTTGTGTTAAGCTAGCTCTTGAATTTAATTTGTTACATCTCTCCTTCACGTAAGCTTACAGTAAGCTTATAGCTCACTATTATACTTGCTCTCATCAACTGCAATATATACTTGCTCTCACCAACTGCAATATATACCTCTCTCCTCCATTTCATGAAGACTTCATTCTTGAATTTTTATGTCCAACGTTTAACCTTCCATCTTATTTAAAAAATATATAAAAGAAAACTAAAAAATTTAGTCACGCGTAAAGCACTATTCATGTTTCGTCATCTAGTAACAATAAAAATAATAAAAATACTAATTATAAAAAAAATTTAAATAAAATAAAGAGTCAAATGTTAACTATCCAAAATTGGAAAACAAGGTTTTTTTTTTATGGATGGAGTATGAATGAAACTTAGTTTTTAAATTGATTTTTGGTTTTTTTGTCGTGCTTTCTTTTTCAGTATTTGCTTTTGAAGCGGTGAATAATGCAGTATAAAAGTTTTACCTAAATTCTTTTAAATTAACACATGTGTAAAAGTTTTACTTTATTTCTTTCTTTCTTTGCTTTGTTTTTTCATCACGTCTTATATACCATAACTCAACCAATCGAATCTAATATATCTAACTCTTTTGGTTCGAATATATGTATACATGGGACAAGTGGACAACAGCTTGATC